TTTTCCCCTCCCCCCCCCCCCCCCCTTATACAGCTGAGGAATGGATCTACAACATCAGTAATTGTTTTGCTTCAGTGAAGCCCATATTATGTTAATAAGTATAGTAACATATACATTAATGTATATATTAATATATACATATAACAACATACAATATAACATTATATTAATATTATGTAAGTATAATATTATGTTAATAAGTAATTAACATAGCTAAGAATTGACCTAATTCTTCAAGATAGATAAATGTATGTGTACACTCATTCATAAATGAAGAGAGAGGATAGATGAAGATGGAGGCTGCCCTCTGTTCTCCTACCCTGCCTTGAAATCTCTGTTCTCTGGGGCAAAGACCGCCTCCTGCTACAGATTTGTGCAGAATACAGTTCAGCCTTCAATGAAGAGCAAGCAGGTGCCCGGGGAGATGCAACAAGAGAGCTGGTAATTAGTTGGGGAGGGGCGCAGTTGAAGAGCAACCACACCTGCTGCTTGATAATATGTGTAGGCGTCTGCACCTCTTGGTTGCTCATGGGCTTTGTTTGTCCCTTTGCTGCTTGTAAGGTGCAGACTTGATCAAGTGGCAGCTGGGGGCCAGGCCAAGTGTAGCTGGAATGCCTCGTGCTGTGAGACTGCTGCACTCTTATCCGTTTGCCTTTTCCTGTTGATTTAATAATATGCAGTCGCAAGCTGCACAGACATCTTCCTGTGCTGTGAAAGGCTTTATCCTTTGGATCTTTTTCCCCACTGAAATATTTAAATGCCCTTCATGAACAACATAGCAATCAATAATTCAGGAAACAGAGTATTTAGCCTGTCAAAACAGATTAGCAGCCAATTTATCATATTTTGAGCTAACGTTGAGCTGCAGTTAATGTGTAAATTCCTCCAGTAGCTCAGGGGCCAGGTAAGAGTAACAACCTTTTTTCCCCGAAGTGTCCTGGAATTTATGTCTTTTTGCTGTCTTGACTGTCACCTTCTCTGGCAGGCATCTGAAAACAGAGAGCCTTTCAAGGCTCTTCTTGCACAGTGACTAGAACAGAGAAGCAGTGGCCTATGTGGGAAGCCTCTTTTTTGGTCCCCAAGAGGGGACTCAGTGTGGCTGATTCTTCTCCATGGCAGAACATTCAAAAAGATACTTGAGGAATGAAGCAAAATATGTCAGAATTGCTAGGACTGCAGAGCATCTACGAGGCATGATTTCATCCAGGTTTCTACCCAAACCTGTCTACTGTTGGTTATTAACACGGAGCATGAAGACAAATGCCTGTGAAACAATCCAGCTGCTGCTGAGAGCACAGTTGGATTGTGGAGGGGAGCAGGGCAGTGGATAGGGACTTAGGGAGCAGGATTTACTCCTTCTTCAAACAGTAAGAAAGCAATCACAAATCACATGTGTTTTCACTTTTCCCCTTCTTCCTCCACTGGTTTGTTCCAGCTTATCGTGGATTGTTCACAGCCTGGGTCATTTTCTAAGCATAGCAAAATTGTTTTTAAAATCTAACACCTAGAGACTTTCTACTTGCCCTACTGTGGTGGTGTCTAATACAGTAGAGATCCAACTGACTTGGGACTCCCAAGTGGCTACATCAGTATAAATATCAAACAACTCCATTATCTCTAACTTAGGCCAGGAAGCATGGATCCGGAAACTGAAGTGGCCTAATTTGGATCAGTTCAGCCAGCAAAGGTGGAAGGCTCTGTACGTGTCTCCAGAGTCCACTGAGACAGCTGCTTTCCACAAGGCCTATGAGAACTTTGCTTTCTTCTGGATTCTTAAGGCTGGGCACATGGTAAGTAATATGTTTCTTGGGGTAGAACATACTTATTGGCAAGAAAGGTAGCCTAAGAAAACTGAAAATACATGTATTAGTTCTTGCTGTCTGCTTCTTCATAGCAGCTGCTTATCGTGTGCTCTCATTTCTGTGCTAGGTACCATCTGATCAAGGAGAGATGGCACTGAAAATGGTCAGGATGGTGACCCAACAGAAGCATTAGGGAAGGGGAGGCCAGCTGGTATGGCTTCTTGCTGAATGCCACTGCTTTCACAGAACGTGAGTCCAGAATGAATAAGCTGCAGGAGGAACGACTGCTATTCAGACTTGTGTCCTCTCTGATCTCGCTGATAATGCGCACAAGCGTTTATGGAAAGGCCTATTTCTCCTTGAATGATTTGTTGCTTTTGAATTTGTAAGCTGTGATAGCTGCCTTAATATTTCTCATAATGACTCTTCCAGTGGAAACGCCACTGTCATAAACAACTTGCTTGGAGCCTTTGCCTTTGTTTGGAAGGACTTTTTTGTGCTTCTGTAAAATGCTGCCCTCCTCTGAATGCCCTTTTGTCTAAAAATCTCTTGACTAAAGCTGATTGGCTTCCTGATAGATTTGATCCTCTTCCTGTCAGAGAGCAAGCCCATTTTGTTAGGCCATGGAACGTGCCTTCCTTCATCCTCAGGCCTCTGCTTGAGTCATCCAGCTGGATTAGAAGCTGAAGACATGGAGCTGGCGGGATAGAAGACCTGCCCTAGAGGATGGTACATCTCATTTCGCTGAGGTGCCTGAATTAGGATCCAAAACTCTTCAGGCTTCCTGGGCTATGGAGAGAGATAAACGCTCCTAGAGGAGGATTTGACCTTTTTCATCTGACCAATTATTTCTTCTTTTTGTTCTCATCTTTAATGACCGTCAACCAAAATGTAGACTTTAACCTTAGCACCTAATAGCATATCCAGTGGGAACTCCTGCTTTCCCTTATGCTGAAGCAGAAGCCCTGTAACACCCTCTTCTCGAGTAGAAGAGAGTCCCAATGGACAAAAGCATCCGACAAGCTTCTGAATTTAGCCTGGGGAGTGGAAAGGAGAGTATTACTTGAGGAACAATAGCATAATTTTCAAAGACAATAGCCTTATTTAAAAGAAGATATATAAGCTAGAACCGATATACTTATCCATATTTTTCTAGACCTGTAAGTCTTGCAGAGACCTATTTACAACAATTTTTATGTTATAGTGTCAAGAGAAGACTTAGTCAGACTTCATTTGACCTTTGCAGTGGAGCACAAAGTGACTGGTCTTTATCTGTGTCTGTAGGAGGCACAACATCCTGTTCCAGTTGTTGGAATCCTAAATAAATAGCAAACCCTCCAATTTCTCCAGTAACTGAAACTATCACGAAATGTTTAATAGTGTTGGCTTAGCAAGGACTGAGTCATAATGCTGTGTAAACAAATATACAGTCACCCAGCAGCTGGAGTATCAGTGCCTGATAATTGTCTTCCCTTTTTCTCTGCTTGAACTATGTTCATGTGAACTTTGGCAATGCAAATCCAGATTTTTTTTAAGACACGTTTTTCAATAAATGCAGTAGATCTTGTTTAATTCTTCTCTTTTGGGCATCAAGTCAATTGCAAAACGAAGATAGAGAGGAGATTTTCAGGCAGTGAAATGTAAAGCCCCTGCCAATGGGAGCAGATGCAGTCATGCTTAAAAGAGAGGGAATGGTCCAGGATCGTGCTCCGCTGTGTGACTGCGTTGCATAATGAGGAACACGGGCCCTGGGGACTGGAGCCTGTCTAACTGTCCCCCATGGAATACACTCCTGCACAGGATGAGGGGCAACCCAGAAGGGCCAGACAGGAGCATAATAGCATTTGTTTCTGTTCTTTCTGGTTGCATATTAGATGAACAAGAATGAGAAGGGTTTTAGAGGTATGGAAACATGCATTCTTGGAGTATTTTAAAATAATTTGCCAAAGAATTAAGTATCTCTAAACCTGGGCAGTTTAATTGGCTTGTAGCCTTCAGTCCTGATATTTTATATAGAATACCTTGTATTAGCCCTAAATAATTAATACTATAGGGCTTGGTAGACGGAAAGAATTGAGGAAAACTGTTTCTCCAGAAAGCAGCATTTACTGCTATTCCTATGCTTTTCTATTAAATGAGACATTCACTCACGTGGCCTAGAGCTTGTGCTCTGTGGTAGGCCTGATGCACCTCTTTCTTGTACTGCTTTTGTAGTTTCTGCAGATTCTTCTGTTGGCAAAGAGACGGTTTGGGGGGTCGAGGGGGGCAGGAAGACATTCGGAGAAGGCTTGTGCTAATGACTTGTTGGTTTTAGGGGAAAAGACAAATCTAAGTATGTTAAAGTGCTTGCCTGTGGGGACAGGCTTCTGAATAGTGTCCATTTAAACACAAACATCAAATAAGCAGCAGTCCTTTAATATCAAGGAGAATTCCTTCCTTTTATTTCACCAAAGGCTCTCTAACTGGTGTGTCACAGCTCCAGATCACCAGAGAGGTAGGTCACCTGTCCAGCAGATGCTGTAGGAAATATGCTGCTTTGAAAGGAATTTGAGTCCTGCTGTGTTTATGATTAGCAGTGACGTACTTTGTCCATTTTGATTTCACGCAGCATGCTAAAGCAGATAAGGACTGTCACTTGGCAAATCTGTTAGACTGAATCGTGCTAAATATTAATAAGATTTTTTACAGATGTAGGAAAAGCCCAAAAGAAAACAGTTCAACATTTTTCTATCTACAGCTGCAGGCTTTGATTGCCTAGGTAGCCTGGGAGCCACTGGCTTATTTTGCTCACCATCAGTTGAGGATAATTTCCATAGAAACAAATCCAGCTGTGTTAAAAATCAATAATTCAGCACTGCCTCTCCAGCACAAGCAATTTCAGCTCTGTAGCTCTCTGCACGTTTTTATGGAGTCTGGGAAAAAACCTAGAAGCGATCCACCGTGTAATAAACAACTGTCCTTGTCCGTCTTTTTACCTACTGCTTTGCTGGATCTGGGAGGATGTAACAGGAAAGGGTCACCTAATGCAAACTCTCTCTCCCCTCACAGCCTCTGGTACATGGAGGATGTTGGATAGGTGACCTTTGGTCTAGCTGTTACAGCTGTACCCATGCAATAGAGCTTGAGAGACTGGCAGGGACAGATGAACACAGGAGGTAAGAGACCTGGCACGTTTGCCACCACAGGAGTATCAGTGCAGGCACCGTACCTATGTCTAATGCAGCAAATCTGGTATGAGATGTTTTTACTGTAGGAAGAGTGAACCACGTAAGCTGTTTCTAAAGGGAGCTTGGCACATAATGCTCATTGATTTCATGCCTGTAAAAGTTTGAGGCTTAATAGTGGGCAGATGTATGCTGAGCTGTCTGTCTTTTGGGGGAGGGAGGGGAAGATGAAAGTTTTGAAATGTTGCAACATCTGCTTATCTTGAGATTCAAAGACACAACAAGGGAACATCTGTGTTACTGAGGCAAGATGGAAATCTTGGAGCACTTCTTCATCGTCAGACATGTTATGTCTATTATCCTGTAAACAGTCTGCTGTATGGCACAGTAATTTGTGTGTGTCAGTTCTGAACTCTGGGGTATGCTGATGTTTTTCCAAAGGGGATTTAGTGAACAGAGTAGCAATTTATCGGACCTAGAGACAGCGAGGGAAGGAATAGTAATAATTTGAGTAGTGCACCGTTCATGCTTGCAAAGCTCCTCTGCAAACTGTTTGGTATTTGCTATGTGATAGATTTGATAGTTAGTGAGTAGCCTTAGCTCTTCTTATCGACCAAATGTACTATTCTGGCCACTGTCTGTGTGTTGGTTTTCTCTTTTTTTCTGTGGCTATAATGCTGTAGGAAGACTGGGGGTCTCCAGAAGCTAAAAGCATGCAGATACCAAATGTCTCACCATGGCTCTGCTGTTCAGCATCTCCAGCGAACATATTACACGGATTTGAATCCAAAGTGCCCTCTCAGCCTGGCTGGGCTTTCGACATAAAACTTGCTCATGCAAAACATTCACTTCAAAGTCGGTTAGGCAAAGGCAAGTGCAGATTCATGGAAGACTTGAACAAGACCAGAGTGACTGTATCACAGGGAGGCAAAAACCATACTATTGTTGACTTTCCCTGGTGAAACTGATTCAAATCCAGGAGCTTATTTCTCTCTGCCCCCCAAATTTTGTTCTCAGTCTCCATATCAAAATTCATAGGTAGACCTCATGATGAATAGGGCAATGTAGGTTTTAAAAAGCTATCAATCATCTGAGCATAAGAAGCAGCTGGAAGAATTCCATGTGCAAGCTGCAGTCAATAGATTTGATCATTCCTTCCACAATCATGTTTTGAGGGAATTATAAAGGCTGCTATGACCAGCCTGGTTGAGCTGCTTTTCTAAGTGCTTCTCTGTCCCAAAAATGTCCTTTTCTGGACTATTTCTCTATAAACGAGCTGATTGCAGGCTGTCATTGAAACAGTCAAACAGTGCTCATCGCTATTAGCCCTAAAGTTAATTTGGTCTACCGATGGGCGTGGCAGTAATGGTGTTGCACCTACGTTCTCTTGCATAAATATTTTTGTGCTGTCCTTTATCTTCTTATTAGTCAGCCGACTTGGACTTAGGTCATACAATCTGTTTCGAGACGCAACAATCACTGTTTGGCTTTAGCATCAGTATGGTGTATCATGTTCTAATTTTATTATGTTCCAGATTTTGTTACTAAATCCAGCAGTATATGGGAATTGCATTCCTTGTAGTCAAATATACTAAAATCACAGATGGCACACAGTTATTCAATTGTGCAGTTTACCTTGAAAAGGGTAAAACAAGTAAAATTTTATAAACTGGTTTTATTTGAAGCATCTCAGGAATGAGGGACAACTTACTGAACGGTTCACATACTGTGTGAGTGCTATGGGTGAGTTACCTTAAGCAAAATATGCTGTCTGGCCTGTAGGTGACTTTCAACATACCAGCCTTGTATTTTAATAAAACATGTGAGTGTGCAGGGAAAAGACTACAGAGTTCACTTCTGTAACACAGTGGTCTTTCATTTCAAGAGTCAGGGCTGAGGTTTGTTAAAGTTCTTTGCTTGTTAGAGCCAGAGCGGAATAGTTGTGTGTCTTTTGACCGAGCTCTTTTGAGGGACAGAATTTGAAAATAAGCTGATTGTAGCAAGCACACTAGGTCTCATTTTTACTCAGTTGAATTCTTAATATCCAGAACCATTTCCAGTTCCCTCCCAAGTTCTCAGCTATATAGAACAATTAGGAGTATTAAATAGCTGGTTGTACCTAGAGTCTCCTTTGAAGAAATGAAGGCTGGAGGTCTCTTGTTGAAACACAGAGGGACAGAATTGACCTAGTGACCTGCTGGCCGTCGGATGTTTTCTTTTGGTAGCTTCTAGCATGATTAATGATTTTAGGAGGTTGCCAGATGCCATTGCACATTATAATTGAAGCAAAGGGAAGTCTTCCCCACTGCTTGGAGCTCTTCAGAGAAAAGCTGATGGCTGCCGTCCTCTCTCTAACAGAAGGCAGCATGGAGGCTGCTGGCACGCACCAAAAACAGATAGGTTTGGTCCGAGGTCATTTAGAAGACTATGGGATTTCTTGGAACAGGAAGACAGCTTACTTTATTCCATACCATTCATCCATCTCTGTTTTGCAGACGATTTTGGTACCAAACACAGTAGCCTCACCTTGCTACCCTGTGACAGCTGGCCAGCAACTGCATTCTCCTGTCTGGTGACATAAGTGCAGTGAAGTGGGTGACCGCTTGGGGGAGTAAGGAGACCTTCAAATACCATGGGAACATGTTGGCAATAGCATCTATCTGTTGTTGCCGTCCCTGGAAGTACCTGGTCAGCACTTGGAAACAAGTTGTGAATTACCAGTGGAAATGGTTTGATGTGAACGAGCACTGAGGTTTATTTCATTTTTTTCAATAACTTCATGGGAACAGAGATTTGGTCCCCCATTATAACAAGGCTTCGTAGTTGCAAAAACAGCTACGTTAGCTGTTGTTTTAACTAGAAACATACCATTCCACGTTGTCACGTGTATTTATCAAATGGCGTATCCTCTGCCTAGGCTGAATTTTTTTCAATAGTGTCTCCGAATGTAGTGTGTGCGTTGTAAGAAGAAACGTGTAAGGCACTGCTGTGTTTTTTGAGGTAACGGCAGCTAGCTGCCTAGTTGAGCTTATCTAGCCTTTGATCCTGCGGAGACTCATGTGTAGGCTTAAATTCATAATCTGGTAACAGTGCTGTTGATATCAAACAAGGCAATTCATACATACTATGTAAAAATAAATCGGTACATAAACCTTTATAAGGTTAGGTCCTTTAGTGATAAGAAAACCTCCAAGCAAGACCCCTGCTTGTTGAAATATTTCCCCAAAATTTGCTGATTTTTTTTCATTAAAAGTTAACTGGTTAAAATAGAAAAAAAATTGGGGAAAATGGCAGTAAAATTCAAGTTCCTTGCTTCTGTGCTATATCTGTTTAAACTAGCCTGAGAAAACTTCATTACCTCTTAGGCAATGTTTTACATTTTCAGCCAGGGTAGAAGTAGTAATAAGCTAGTTCTTGTTGCCTGTTACTTGTTGTTCATAAGACTTAAGATCAAAGAGAAGATCCAACTAATGAAAAGTAATAGTGATAAAGCCACTTAAAGACCAGGAGACCAAAGCATATCTGTATGTTGCTAATCAGAGCTACATTTGTTGACTGGAAACAGGACTTTATTCAAAACATATTAAAAGTTACTATTAGAAGGCTAATATTCAGTGAGGGTGATATTATGTATATGGCAAAGAGGATTTATGCTAGGAAGCTGTTCTGAGAGGCTGGGTCTCAAGATGTTGCTACTGTATGTTGGAATGCAACCAGAATTGTAGATAAGGTCATCAGCCTTGGGGAATGCAGTCCTTATGGGCTGTTTCTGGCACCAGATTACAATTTGCTAAATAAGTAGAAGTGACATTGATGGAAAAGCTGCTGATTGTAATGAAATTCTCCAAATGCCATCCACGGCCTGCAGCTTTCAATGAAATATTTCCTCTCAAACTATTTATCCTGAACAGGCAAATATGGCAGCACCACCGCAAATCATATTTCAAGTTCAGAAACAGGATTCACAGCATGTAAAATGTTTTCTCCACATAGTGTACAATTGAAACAAAGTTGTCAAACATCTCTAATTTATTAAACAACAATTTTGATATACTAGCAAGGAAAAATAGCCCATTGGTACTAGCAGACACATCCTACTGAGAACTGGAGAAGCAGAGATCAGCAAGGAGTGACAACTGTCAGCAACTACTGACAATAATAACCTTCCCCTTGATTCAGCCTTACGTGCTGTACCTTGCCAGTGCAGCTGCCCAGCAAGTGAGTGTGGCATGTGTTCAGCTCAGTGTCCCAACTTTAGCCCATTTTGGGCACTCCCAGCTTTCAGATCCTTGACAGCATCTCACATTCCAGTTCTCCTGTGCTCAGCACTGTCGCATCATCTCCCAGCAGTCAGATCTTTGCTCATAATATTCAGCTGTCTACAATGACAGCTTCTACAGCCCCTTCAGCTCTCTTATCAGCTTTATTCCAGAGCCCTCTGGCACTCAAGCTGTGTGTGGCAGTTCTCAGATTTCTGTACTAGCTCCTCAAACTATCGAATCTATTCTTGAAACTTTCTCTCTCTCTCTCTCTTTTTCTTACAAATAATGCAAGATGGATACACATTTTTAATGCTGGTAGGTTTAGTCTAAACCAATGTTGCCACTTCCACTTGTGGTGCAAGTTCCTTCTTCCTTCAGCAGCAGACAGATGAGGGCCAGAATTAGCTAGATTCGATGAGACAGAGAACATGGCCCCTCTCAGGTGCAGGAATTTCTCCTCTGATCATGACAAACAGGAAAAAGTCTGTTCCTTTTTTCTTCAGAATATTAAGCGTGACTCCACTTTCCCACCTGGGACTGCACAGCTGCCCATCTGAATACAGAAAGGTGAGTCAGATGGTGCAAAGAGGCAACCTAAGACAACCTGAGCGAACAAGGTGGGACAGTGACACAGCTGTGCTCTGAAGCTTTGAAGGGGTTAAATTCCACTTCAGAGGAGTTAGACTAACAGTAGCTGATTCCACGTAGGTATGCTTTCCACGGCTCTGAGGGCTACCAGCGTATAATTTTTTTGAGTATTTTCAATGGGTGCCACTGAGGGGGGTCTCTTAAGCTCAGTTCCCATATAACCTGAAGATATGTTCACCTATCCTGAGATAAAAGCTAAATGTTCTCACATCTGAGAATCCTGCTTTAACTAGACAACTTCACAGAGGTTTGCTGATCAAATACTTTGCTTCCTTTTTCTCTTCCAGATCTCCTTCATCTTCACATCTCTTCATAAATTCTTTGCTTCCCAAAGGTCTGATCTGATCTCTGTGCTTTGCTGAGTTTCTTCCAGTCTGGAAAGACCCTTTTGTACATCAGCAAGGGAACAGGAGAACTCTTTTATATTTGTTGTAAAATTAAAGGAAGGTCAAGGTGGCAGGGGCTCTGGAACTAACTCTTTATGTCTAAGGGTGGCTATGTGAGGAGCTTGTACTCCTAGTACAGCGTGTGCTGTCACTGTGCCATGGATTGACAACTGATTTACAGCCTACAGGGCTGTCAAATCAGCCTCTTCCTGAACATTAAATTTGCACATAAAAGGGATGAGAAACATATATTCAAAGAAACATAACTTTCTGAGGAGAACACTACTTCTGATTCCTGGAAAAGGGAAGAATTTGAGTGGCTGGCTTTAATTAGGGTATTTTCAGGGTTGCTAAGGGTCAAGTGGACCTCTCATTACCAGAAGCAAATGGACAGATACTGTCTCAGTTGAAAACCTGCACTCATTGCCACTTCAGGTGGACAACTTTATCAATCAGCTACAGATCATCACTCAGCGATGGGGTGGTCGCTTGCGCTCGGCACCCGCAGTGGTAGCAGGGGAAGAAGTCCTGGCGGAGGCAGCGCGTACCTGAGCCTGAGCCGTGCTCCTTCCTCCGCCAGGTGCTGCCCTGATGTTCCCGAACTGAGGCACAGTGCAGGAAACGGACTCCTTCCTTGTCCTCTCCCTGGCACCTCGAGGCTGTGGCCTTAAAAAGGAGCCCAAAATGACCTGAGAAAGATAAGGGACAGAGCAGAGAGATCAAATTAAGACCCAGGCTTAATTGTCCCCTCACACCCCCTCCATGCTGTGTCCCCTCCCGTCTCCCCCCTCCCTTTCCCCTCACACCTGCCCTCGTGTCCCCTCACGTCTCCCCCCCGGG